TTTTTAACTTTTCACTAAGAAACCGTGAAACATGATTTGACTTGTTTTGGTTGACTTCTCACATTTTAACCAGAGGATTGTAGAAGAGCGAAATGGTCTTGTTTTCTCCAAGACTATAAAAATTGTGTAGCACCATGGAAAAGGAGTAGGATATTCTTGACTGGAATCAAAGCTTATCAACATTTCAGAGCATGAATAAGGGCTCACATTAAAACACATAGAAGTATTTGTGACATTGGAACACACGGAATTGTTTTTAATAAAATGAAAAGTGATCAAATATCAACAGGTTATTTTTGGTGGTTTGAACTTGCTAGCAGGTACTCTACCACTTGAACCATGTCCCCAATATCCCCTTATTTGCTTTAGTTTTATTTTTTTCAGGTTTTTCCCAGAACCAGCTTCAGATTGTGTTCCTCCTCCATATGATTTCCCACTTAACTAAATTACATACGTTCTCCACTATGACAAGTTTATTAAGATGGGTCTTGCTAACTTCTTTCCTGACTGGTCTGGAACAATCTTCCTGTTCTCTGCCTTGTGAATAGCTAGGATTTCATGCATGAGCTGCTGCACTGTGCAGACATTTTGTTTGCATTATATTAGTTCACTGATTCTGCGCAATTCTGCTATGTGGTATAATAAAAATGAAATCACCTGATAGTTAAGCCTAATTGAGTGAGCTCTTCATGGCTGATTCAAACTAAGTCTTCTGTCTCTTGATTTAATGCCTGCCTTCAGGATATTTGACTACCCAATAAATGTATCTTAAGTTGTTTATAAATGAAACCAAACAATATCAATCAATTTTGATAGCTAAAATAGAAGTTTTTTTTTCTTTTATGCCAGAACTGAAGTTTAGACTTGGGCTCTGGATGCCATTCCTTAGCTTTTCCACTCAAGGCTGGTCTTCTCCCATTTGAATCACACCTCTACTTCTGGCTTTTTGGTGGTTAATTGGAGATAAGAGTCTCACAGACTTTCCCATCTGGGCTGCCTTCGAGTCTCAATCCTCAGATCTTAGACTCCTGAGAGCTAGGATTACAGGCATGAGCCACAGGTGCCACCTGAATTTCCCCTTCTTTAGCATCAACTGGGTGGACATTGGGACCATTGGACTAGAAAAGCTGCATTCATTATCCGTGGCTTCACATTCTTAGTAATAGAAGAGGTATTAACAACCATTGAGGCAAAGAACACAGTTAAACGGGAACTTTGAAGCCATGAAAGTAAAGAATATTCTCCCTCAATCTGATAATTATGAATGGATCCTTTGCATTTGACTGGAGTAAGAGAAAGCAGAACTGATAAGCAAATATGATGCTGTGGCACCAGCTTCAGTCTGAAAGGCAAATAATCCAGATAATTGTTTAATTGGATGCTACTTAAAAAAGACAAGCTGGAGGGGCTGGGAAGGTGGCTCAGTGGTAGAGCGCTTGCCTTGTATGCCTGAGGCCCTGGGTTTGATTCCTCAGCACCACATAAGCAAAAAAGAAAAAAGCTGGAAGTGGCACTGTGACTCAAGTGGTAGAGCGCTAGCCTTGAGCTGAAGAGCTGAGGGACAGTGCCCAGGCCCAGAGTTCAGGCCCTACGACCGGACCCCCCCCAAAAAAAAAGACAAGCTGAAACTCCCCAAAACTCAGGGTCCTTCCACTCCCAAGTTATTCAAGCTGATCCAAAACTTTGGCAAAGTAGCAGGGTATAAAATTAACCCTCAAAATCAATGGCTGGGGCGGGGGGAGGGGGGGAAGGGAGGAGTTGGGGAGGTGGAGAGGAAAGGGATGGTAGGGGTAAAATAAAGGAGGGGGTAACAATGCTCCATAGGAAATGGACTCATTACCTTGCTCATGTAACGGTAATCCCTCTGTACTGTATCTTTTCAATAAAAGTATATAAAAAAAAGAAAAAAATCTCAGGGTCCCGGGCTCACATCTTGCTTTTCAGCCCTACTGAGTAAACAAAAACTCAAAGAAGCCGGGCAAAGGTGGCTCATGACTGTAATCCTAGCTACTTAAGAGGCTGAGGTCTGAGCATCACAGTTTGAAGCCAGCCAGGCAAGAAAATTTATGACATTCTCATTTCCAGTTAACCACCAAAAAGCTGAAGTGGAGCTGTATGGTCAAGTGGTAGAGTACCATCCTTGAGTGAAAAAGCTCAGGGACAGTACCCAGCCCCTAAGTTCAAGCCCCAGGGTTGGCATAACAACTATAAAAGGTAACATGGATGGGTAGAATTCATGCATGTTCTTGAGATTTATTCCATTTAACTATTTCTTCTCAGAACCTGTCAGTCTCTCCAATTTTACTTTTCAATGTGGAGTGCTTTTGGACAATTTTCCTCAGTTAAGATGCAAAAGAAAAGAGATCAAATTCTGGATTTAAATATAATTATATTCAAATCCAATACCTTGCAATAAATACAGTACAACCTGTTTCAGGTCAGCCTGGGCTGGAGCCTTTTTTTTTTCAGTACTGGTGCTTGAACTCAGGGCCTCCAACTCTCACTTGGCTTTTTCCTCTTAAAACTGATGCTCAGCCAGACGTCGGTGGCTCACACCTGTAATCCTAGCTACTCAGGAGGCTGAGATCTGAGGATTGCAGTTCAAAGCCAGCCCGGGCAGAAAAAGCCATGAAACTTTTATCTCCGAAAAACCAGAAGTGGCGCTGTGGCTCAAGTAGTAGAGCGCCCACCTTGAGCTGAAGAGCTGAGGGACAGTGCCCAGGCCCAGAGTTCAAGCCCCCCACCTGACAAAAAAAAGACTGTTGCTCTACTGCTTGAGTTACATCTCTACTTCTGGCTTCTTGTTAGTTAATTTGACATACGCATGGTCTTGAACTTGTGCTCCTCTGGGCTCATCTTCCTCTTTCATTACTGGTGCATGCCATCTTTTCACACTGAGCAATCTATGTCACTGCTCCCTTGAAGTTTATATAACTTTGGGAAATCTTTGGACTATTTACGTGCCCCATGCTTCAGTTTCTCTTCTTGTAATATAGGGATGATGATGATGATAGAATAGTGGTACAGATTATGTATATGCATATCTAATTCAGCATGACTTTGGAGATAGTATGCACAATGAATGTGTCTGTGTGTGTATATATATATATATATACATATATATATATACATATACATATATATATATATATATAATTCAGCATGATTTTAGAGATGATACGACAAATAAATACATCTTGATCTTCTTCCCCCTTCCCCTCCCCATTCTCTTGGGACTTTGTTTTTAAGCCTCTTATTTTGAGCTCTGTGCATTCATATTTAATGATTGTCATTTTTATTCCTTTTCTGTAACATTAAATATTAATATCAGGCAGAATACCTCCTCTAATTTCCCTTTGGAGTAATAAAATGTTACCGGTGACTGTTTCTTGAAATCTGTAGCCACAGCCATTGTCAAAACAGAAGTACATCCAAAAGGCGAGCAAACACTTGCTAAGAAGTCTGGAGAGTATTACATAGTGAGAAAATGAAATATATCCAACAGAGTGATCAGCTGAGAGGTGAACAGGTGCTGAGTTGATCTCAGGAAGTTGATCACACGAAAAAATGGTGGTAAATTCTAAGTGTCAAGGTGCTCATTAAATTTTGACAAAAATATAATGACAAATTTAAATGACTTCATTACTAATGAGATGATTTCAGCATGACTTAGAATAACTCCTTTACCCAGCTGAAGTCTAATTGATAAGTAAACAAAAAAAAATTGTACACATTCAGCTAGATGCTGGTAGCTCACACCTGTAATCCAGCTATTTAGGAGGCTGAGATCTGAGGTTCTAGGTCTGAAACGTCCCAGGCAGGAAAATCCAAGTGATTCTTACCTCCGATTAACCTCTAAGATGCTGGAAGTGGAGCTGAGACTTGAATGGTACAGTACCAGCCTTGAGGAAAAAAAAAATTGAGAATAAGAGGCTCTGAATTTGAGTCCTAGACTCAGTAGAAAAACAATGTATCTTTACTATTCATATGTACAAAGAAGATGATCTCACCACATCTGTTCTATGAAAGTATACCCTGCTCCAAACAAGAAGTGTTTAAAAACAAAATCAAGTTTTTGTTAGAAATATGCACTCTGTACCACCAAAAAGAAACTTCCAGAAAAATTCATAGTATTCTTTTCCAAGGTATAAACTATTACAACAGTAGTTTTGTCATTTCCAGACATTTATGGGTTTTTCTTATGGTTTTATTCTACAACCATATTATTCTTTAATTCCTTTTTTTCTTTTACTTACTGCTTTCTGATTAAAGTCATTTTGACATAACTATTCTGGCCTTTTAACTTTTCAAAACAATATCTAGATACAAATAGATCCCTAAAAATGGAGGCTCATCAACATTCAGCACAATGATCTGACAGATCTAATTCAACCACGCACTTTTCACACCTCCTTTCAATGTTAATAATGAAGACTAATTTGGCCATTTGTGTGTGTGTGTGTGTGTGTGCCAGTCCTGGTACTTGAACTCAGGACCCAAACACTGTCCCTTAACTATTTTTTACTCAAAGGCTAGCCCTCTCCCACTTGAACCACAGCCTCCATGTCGCCCTATTTTTTAGAGATAAGAAGAGTCTTTCCTGCCTGGACTGGCTTTGAACTACAATCCTCCGATCTCAGCCACCTGAGTAGTTATGATTTTAAGTATGGACTACTGGCGTTCACATGAGACTCTTATCTCTAATGATCACTAAAACAAAAAACCAGAAAGTGTAGGTGTGGCTCAAGTATTAAGAGGGTTAACGTTGAGCAATAATGCTCAGGCCCTGAGTTCAAGTCCCAGAACCAGCACAAACAACAACAACTAATACAGAGATTTTACAAGGCTTTGATTTCAAGAAGTGCTTCTCAAATTCAGTCTGAGTGAGACAGCCTTGGTGTAGATGTGCAGTGACCATACTGACCATACTGCACTGATGACCTGTGCAGTCCTGAGCATTAGCACCTCTCTCTGCTATAATGAGTGTCTTTCTTTTGCAGGACGGTCCTTTTTACTCTTACTTCCGTCGTTGTTCTAGTCATTACTACTGACTGGATAAGCTGGGACAAGCTTAATCGAGGATTTTTGCCCAGTGATGAAGTTTCCAGAGCATTCCTTGCTTCTTTCATCTTGGTCTTTGACCTTCTAATTGTGATGCAGGTAAGTCTTTGTTTTCCTCTCTGCTCCCTGAAGTTTGTCTATGCTTTGTTCTGAGAATGAAAACAAAACAAAACAAAAGGACACTAATAGGTGACAGGTGCAGAAAGCTAGTAACTATACAGCTTACAGCTGCAATGACTAATGATCTGATTTTCATAAGTTTTACTGGGAGGGAGAGGAGACACCAGAAATTCATTTTATCAACATGGCAAGGTAGGTGCCTAAAAAGAATGCAGCAGGGTAATATTTTTAGAGATGGTTTCAAAGGGAGAGAAAAAAAGGCAAAACAAAACAAAAGTCCAGAAAGCTGTCATTTAGTAACTGGGAAACAGGAAAACTTGAGGATGTGAGCAAGCCAGCAAAGCAGGGTTTTATAGCAATTGAAATGGAGTGATGTTAACATTTTTTAAAAAGGCTTTTTCTCTGGTTTATGGAAATGATCACTTTCAGTATTCACCAGAGATCATCCCATTTTCATGTAACCAATATATCTTCCTTGCTTAGCAACAGATTTTTTTTTTTTTTTGCAGGGGGTACAATGGTGTCACACTAACAAGTGAGATTCTTGTAATCTTCTGGTGTGAATGTTTGGGTTTTAGAAATATTCTCTTCAGTGGGGTAGAAAGAGACTTTATCTATATCTTAGTGTTTTATCTTGCTCATTAAATGTCCACCACCCACTTGCTAGACACTTGCTTACTGTTTTCATAAGACAATTTAGCTTTCTTCACCTCCAGAGACACTATAAATTACCCGAACAAAGGCTACTATTGTCAGAGAGAAAGGAAGAGCCATTGTATTGTGAATTTATGTGAGAATTTTGCAGGATACTAGATTGCTTTTCTTATTTCTAGAGGCAAGGAGGCTTTATGTGAGCTATTCTGTGTTGCCTCAGTAAGAACAATAGTGTGTTGGGTTTTGTTTTGTTTTGTACTATAATACATAATGGGCATTAAGTTCAAGAAGGCACTAAGAATGTACTGCTGCTTGTAATGGGTGCTATTTTCAAATTCATTTTAGCTTTAAATGACTGAATTCATGAAATTGGTAGGTTATGTCTCATCTTTTTTTGGGGGGGGGGTCCATTCATGGGGCCTGAACTCTGGGCCTGGACGCTGTCCCTCAGCTCTTCAGCTCAAGGCTAGCGCTCTACCACTTGAGCCACAGCACCACTTCCAGCTTTTTTCTTTTCGCTTATGTGGTGCTGAGGAATTGAACCCAGGGCCTCAGGCATACAAGGCAAGCACTCTACCACTGAGCCACCTTCCCAGCCCCATGTCTCATCTTAAAATAGAGGTATTTCTTTATCCCTCCCTGTGAAATAGCTTAGACTAGTGTAGAAGGCCAGACACTTGGTGTGCATTGGTGAGCTCCAGATTGGTCTCTTGGCAGTCACATGATCTTACCTGGAGAGCTTCACATCTATCATCTATCTATCTATCTAATTAATTTGCTTTATTTTTTGATACCAGTGCTGAGTCTTGAACTCAGGGCCTCGCACTCAAACTTGGCTTCTTCACTCAGGGCTGGAGCTCCACCATTTGAGCCTGACCTCTCCTCCTGACTTTTTGCTGGTTAATGGGAGATAAGAGGTTTTCAGCTTTGCCTAGATCTGAACCTCTTCAGTAGCTAGGATTAAAGGCATGAAGCACCAGTGCTGGCTCTAAATTAAATTGATAGAACTTATTTGCCACTGTATCCTCATTACTTGTTTAAAGGCTGGTTTTTATCTTTTCCATCTCCTCATAAATTCACTTCACAACAGTAGAATGTCTATTTTGGCTCAGTGGTCCAATGAGATCTCTTTGAAACTATCTAAAACACAAAGGCCAAGAACTATCTTCTTGAATTTGCTTAAAATTTATATATGTGAGAACATACCTTCCCTGACTGGCTGTTACTATTTCCTAGCATGTACCTTCTTTGTGTACATTTTATTAGCCTTCTAACTGTCACTAAAACCAAGATCTTCAAGTGGAAAAAAATAGAGTATTACCATTTATAGAAATCATGTGTTTATTCAAAACAGCACTTACTGAACATGGAAAGAGGAGCAGAAGAGCAGAAATCAGGATTTGTACAGGCTTGGAAAGAGAAAGACATTATAGAGTAGGGAAAAACAGAAAATAAGGAGTCAGTAAATTTGCTGAAGTGTTCAGAGAGTAGCCTGAGACAGACTGATGATGAGGAGTTAGTTCATGCAAAGGAATGCACTCATTGGAACCATTTGGGCTGCAAGTAATGCTAATCCCAATCAAAGGGAGAGTGTCTGTATACCATAGAGAAACGCCCGGGCTATTTCAAGAGCGAGAAGGTAGTCACCATTAGAGACACTGGAAAGCAGAGACTTGCCTCCATCCCTCATCTTCCCTGGATCCTTTCTGCTTTCCGTTTTGCCTTTCCCTGAAAACCAGCTTCTGCTAGTTTATATGGAAGGGAAAAGTTACTGCCAAACATCCCAGAGGGGACAATCATTCGAATGGTCAGTCCCAACTTCAGATTTCCTGGGAAGAGATTGTCCTGTGCCTATTCTTGAACTGAGTGAGGCAGTATGGGAAGCTGGAGACTGGGCAGTGCCAAAGCAGAAGGGGAGACCTGGGCTCTCAAATACCACATCACAAGATATATCAAGCTATGTTATTAATCATATAATTAGCCATAGGTAATGATTAGGAATAAGTATGTTACTTTATGATCATACGAAGGGGAGTTGAAAAGGACTTCCCAAAGCTAGTTCTCTGTCCCTTCGTCTTACAAGCTGGCCAGTGAAGCATACTGACTCATCTTTTTCTATCTCTTGTACCCCAATACTTCTCTCTCCTTTCTTTTTTTCCTGTCAGCAGTCTAGTCCAGACACTGCTTTGCCCTGACGCTGTCTGCCTCTAGCTCTCCCCTTTCTTCCATGCGCTAGGCAGTTTGCTCTCAGCACCTGGTGGCTCACCCCTGTAATTCTAGTGACTCCAGAGGCTGAAATGGGGGAAGGCTGTGGTTTGAAGCCAGCTTGGGCTAAACAGTTAGAGAGATCCCATATCAATCCATAGCCAAGCAAAGCAGGTGTCATCTGCTTGTCATCTGAGCTATATGGGAGGCTGAGACTACAAGGATGGAACTTTCAGGCAAAAAAAAAAATTCTCAAGACACCCTTCTTTTCAGCAGAAAAAGCTAGGTGTGATGAGAACAGCCACAGCAGGGAATATAAATAGGGGGATTGCAATCCAAGTTAGCTCAGGCAAGAAAAAAAAAAAAGACCTTTCCTCAAAAAAAGGACCAAAGCAAAAGGATTTTGAGGTGTGGCTGAAGTAGTGAAGCATCTGCCCAGCAAGTATGAGGCCTTGAGTTCAAAAAAAAAGATTTATTTGATTCGGGTGCCCTGCATCTTGTATGTACATTTTTCTAATTTGGGAGGGGAAGGGAAATAACAAAACGCTGAAATAAGGATGCATTGGCCCATTGTAACAATGAGATGTACAAGACACTGTGTTGAAAATGAACTTTACAACTTTGGGGCGGGGGCGGGGGAAGGAGGGAGGAGTTGGGGAGGTGGGGAGGGAAGGGATGGTAGGGAGAAAAACAAAGGAGAAGGCAACAATGCTCAATAGGAAATATACTCATTACCTTGCTCATGTAACTGTAACCCTTCTGTGCAGTATCTTTACAATAAAAATACTTTTTAAAAAAAGATTAAAAAATCTATACTGTATATATCACTTCTCCACCTCCAAATGGATTCTTATGGCTCAAAATAAATTCCAAGAGCTCTTCCTCAGTCTTTTCTGCCTTCTGGCCCTGGATTCGTTTTTCTTCTGTGTCTCTTGGATCCAGCTCCAACCTAAGCTGCTCTGCATTGTACTACAGGTAGCTTTTCACTCCCAAGATGTCTGCGAGCCTCTTCTTCCTCCCCAGATTGTGTCTTGACTGCTCTACTCATAGAATCCAGGCATTGAAACCATTTCAACACCCCCTGCCTTGAAGCCCCTGAGCCTTTCTTGTCAGCATCTCTGTGCCATCTTTGCCAGGCACTGCACATCCACACATCCCCATCATCCTTATTCCTGGGCATCCCTGGAACCTCCCCTACCGGGCAGTTCCTTGCATGGGGTAGGAGCAGGCTACAGTCATATCAGCTTGATGAGGCTGCAGAATGGAAAGGTCAGCCTGGAGCTCAAGCCAAATATGATTCCCTCTGTGAGCAGCAATCAGATGATCTGGAAATAGTACCCATACACCAGTGGTCGGGAGTTAAAGAGACACAGCCCCAGAAACCTTACGTATTAAAGATGTCTGATAAGTCATCGGACAAATATCCTAAGACACCCATAACCAGCTGAACTGTGATCCAATTCATCCCACATCCACATGTTTCTGGTTAAAAGAAAAATAGACTAGTAGTAAAAATTAGTGGAACTAAGCCCAGCGCCAGTAACTCAAGCCTGTAATCCTAGCTACTCAGGAGGCTGAGATTTGAGAATCAAGGTTCAAAGGCAGACCAGGGCAAAAAAAAAAAAAGTCTGTAAGACTCTTATCTTCAGTTAATCAGCAAACATATTCAGCAGTGGATGCATGGTTCAAGTGGTAGAGTTCTAACACTGAGCACAAAAAAGCTAAAGAATGGTACCTAGGACCTGAGTTCAAGCCCCAGTACTAGCATACATGCGCACACTTACATATACACATCCCACAGACAAGTAGTAAAATTAGTGCAATTGAACAGAGAAATTTGAATTTATAGGGCCATCCTCATTAGATTTCTTTAAATGGTTTTAACACAATTTATCCTGGGATTTTCCCATGAGAGAAAACTCCACTTAAACTATAAAAAATACTGTTTGATTAATTTTTTATTAAAAAATAGAAGATAACATTAGAATGGTTTTTTGTGATACAGGAACTGAGGCTAGAACCTTTTACTCATAAAACACACTCTCGGACACTGAGCTACAACCTAGCCCTAAGAATAGGATACTATTTCTGTAAATATTTTAATTCTACTAGAATTAGCA